TTTGGGATATTGAGACAAATAAAAATACTTATACGTACGAAAGTGAAGGGTTTGTTCAATGTGTAATGTTTAACCCACAAGGTACTTATTTACAACTACTAGTCATCTGTCAACTTTGTATATCATTTTATTTATTTGCCTTTCATTAGATAACAATATCTTTGTAAGTGGGTCTTCCCGTAAAGTTTTGGCAATCATAGATATTCGGACACCTGAAAATGTGTTGAGCTTTAAAGTTGATGATGGGATGATAAATTCTCTTTATATTTTTCGGAATGGACAACATATTATCACAGGTGACTCGTTGGGATACGTAAAAACCTGGGATATTAGAGCTGGTTAGTATTACTCACAAGTTATAAAATTTAAATACAAATACATTCACATAAACTTGTCTTTATTGTAGGCTCTGCCTTTCAGTCATTTTTAAATGAGACAACAAAAAAGCCTGTTTCTCATATTGCCGTATCGAGAAAAAGTCTTGGTGATTTTTTTTTTATTGTAAACCGGTTTTATTATCATTTAATTAAATTTAAGAGTCTTAAACATCTTGTTTCTCTTTCAGATGGTGAAGAACCGCGATATATGGCAGTTAATAGTTATGACAATTGTATGTGAACGTAAATGAATTTTAGGAGCGAAATTAATTTATCTAATCTGACAATGATTTCTAAATTATCAAGTAATAAGAATTTATGATCGCGGAATAGAGCCACCTAAAATCCAACCGCGATTGATACATATCTTAAAAGGCTACAAGAATAAGGGATGGCCGATTAAGAGTTCATTTTTCCCTGGAAAAGATTGTATGCATTTTATCGGTAGAACCATTTAAAAGTTGTTACAAATATATAAAATATGAGTAATACGAATATTGAGCAGTTGCATATATATAGATCAATATTATACCACACAAAGAACACAAACCAAAGATATTTACGATGTACCTGAACAAATCGATTCTGTTGACAATGTTTTGTAAGGATATTATTTATTTGTCATGTTTTTTTTGACAAATCGACAAGCAAACTGTTAATTATTCGACAAATGTCAAAGTAGTTATGAGAAGGATAAATTATTAGAAGCAAGTTTATTGTTAGCTACGGGTAGTGCGGATCCATACGCGTATTTATTTAACGTTGGTAGTCCGGAGGTAATCATCTTTTTTTAGTTTAATTCATGATTAATTATTTCCATATTTAATAAAATACATTTGATCAAATAGGGAACTGGAGAATTGTTACAACGTTTAGAGGGTCATACTGATTTCGTTTATGCTGTAGATTTTCATCCTTTTGAACCGATACTGGCGAGCTGTTCTGCAGATTTCACCATAAAAATATGGGTACCCAATGC